TTGGGGAGGTGATGATATATATATATATATATATATATATATATATATATATATATATATATATATATATATATATATATATATATATATATATTTGTAGATACACCGATGTAAAGTTTAACATCAACGTGTCAATTTTGGACTTTCAAAAATGTTGGGGAAAATCTGGTGAAATAATGGCAAAACAAATATTACATATCCTTTATAAATATATTAACTTGGACAAAATTGCGGGTTTGACTGGAGACTCTTGCGCTTCGAACTTTGGTAAATATAATGGTTCACTTGTGGTTTGTAGTGAGGAGATAAAAAGATCATGTTAAGTTGTAGGTGAAATCAACGAAATAAATCATATTAAATGTTTTATTCACCAAGAAGCATTATGTGCCAAAAGTATGATAACAGAAACTACAAAAGAAGAAAAGGAAAGAAAGATACGAGTTAAAGATGGAGGTATTTTTGGTGTTTCCGATCTTTCAGAAATTGAAAAATTTCACACAATTGCCACTGTTATTTTTAAAATCATTACTGCAGTTAGAAAAAGTGCGACAGCAAGAGATAAATTAAAAGAATTACTTAAATCGAAAAACATGAAAGGTCTCGAAAAAAAAATATTGATATAGTTTGTTTTCAAACGAAAAAAGGTTCACTCGTTTTTTATTTGTTTTACCTGAAATTGTATTGGTACTTTCAACTGTTTGTATTGATTCTTTGCAAATTAAATTGAGTGAAAAACACAAGTATCTAAAAACAGAAGATCTTAACCAGGATGTCAAATTAAACATTGAAAAAATTAATTTAATTGTTCTAGAAGAAGATAGTATAAACTTTAAAATGAAACAAAATGACAACACAAAAAAGGAAAATGTGGGAGAAAAAAGATGGGTATAAATCTATTCGGTTTGGAGTTAAAAAATTAATAAAAATTCAAAATGAAAACGTCAATAAAACTGGAAAATATGAAAAACAACTAAAAATTATTAAATCAAAAAGTATAATTTTTCTTCCAACTCCAGTCGATCCAAATTGCCCCGAAAGAACACCAGAATTTCGAGAAGTTGAAGAAAGAAAACGAGTGACACGCGACGAGACTTTATGTGATTATTTGTTATGGGCAATATCGAACAAGTATTTTTGTTTGATTTGTGTGTTTTGCGCGATTTGACAACAATATTTAATAATGTTAATTTGAGACACTAAAAGAAATACGAGAATATCTACTACTATATTGTACTAATAAAGGGTCTGAGGGCCAAAGTTGACAAAATTGAAAACTCACTGCGCAACAATGATTATTCGTTACTTCCAACTGCAAACGCATTTGTAACAAAAAACAAAATAGAAGTTACTATTCCTATACATCTTGCAGCTATTATAACTATGAAAGAACAGTTGGCTTCAAGGTTTATAGAAATAGATTAACTTTCATTTATAGATGACTTCCTTAATATGACGTACATTACTCAACTTTTTGTCAACGAACACAATTACTAAGTAAAAAACGAAGTTGAACTTTTTTTGTGATAAAATGTTTATCAAAAATAACATTGTCAGACCGCAAACCGAACTTGTTGTGGAAAAGCAACCAATTGAAAGTGAATTAATTAGTTCTACTGAACGATTAAAACAACATATTTATAATTCAATGACACATCCCGATTGTTATCACACCATTAGAATGTCAATAAATGAGATATTCAATGATGAATACCTCAAACAAACATTTATTGTTAATTATCCAAGACTCTCCATTTTAGCAGCAAGATCTTTGTCGTTGTTTATGACTTCATATTCATGTGAACAAGGATTTTCCGCACTTTCTTTAATAAAAACCAATTTCAGAAGCCAACTGTCAGATGATATATTGAGGGCAATGATGATTATAGCAAATACAACACTTACGCCCCAATTTGATAAATTAGCTGAATTGATTGTGAAAAGTTGTTGTTTTTTTTACCATTTTTATCGTTTCGCCGTTTATTTTTTAATATATCCATTTATTTTATTTTCGAAATAAATGTTTGATTGTGCGTGTTTATTATGAAAAGGTAATTTTTCTTTAATTGTGTTTTTTTTCAAAAAGTAATAATGGGAACTTTTAATAATTTTTTATATAAAATGATTTTTTGGGAAAAGTTTATTAATAAATCCCAAAAATGTGTAATTTTATTTTTTTTCTCAATCAAAACTGGTTAAATAGGCAATTTTATTATTATGTATTATTTAATATTTTAATCCACAGAAATTATTAAATTGCCAATTAATCCAAACCTCAACGCGCCAAAAAGTATCAAAACGGCGACCCTGGTGTCGACATTATATTAGCATTAATATTAATACTTTTATTATTAAACGTAGTTTTTTCCACTTTTTTTCGGTGGAAATAAAATACAGCTTTTTATCATTACAATAATTTCAAATAGTAAAATTACAATAAAAAAGTATAATACAAATTACCACCTCGGACAGAAAAGTCTCCACAGAGCATATTCAGTTTACATGGTAAACAGTACTATACATCTTATTATATTTGTATTATTTTAATCTATAAAATCAAGTGAAAGCTGTTAAAAACATAGTCGCCTTTTATATCATATTTGTTAATAATTTAATTTTGATTGGTTATAAACGTTTTTTAATGGCAATGAAAAGATAAGTGAAAAGTTATGCTTTATTAAAAATTCTATTTTAACAAAAAATATTTACGATTTTTGAAAGAGGAATATAAAAAACGATAAGATTTGTATATTTACATGTTATTTTATTTGCTATATTCAAATTATATTGATTAAGTTTGTTACAAAGTATCAATACAAATTCAAAATGCTTTACAAAAGACTTAAAAATATTAATATGTTTATTTATTCAAAAATCCCTCATTATTCAATAAAATATTAATTATTTGAAAATCTAACCGGTTTAATTATATAAAAATGTTTATTTTACATAAAAAAATTATAAAATTTATTCAACAAAGTTTAGTGAATGACTCTATATATTTTTTACATGTCGAAATAACAAATGCAGTTAACAATTAAGAAATCTTTTCAATAAAAAATTTGACTATATATTTATATTCTACTGGATATTTTAAGAACATTCTGTTTTCGATGTTAATATTAATTTTTCAATGTGTGTTGTATAGCAAGTTTCCAATCAAACAATACCTCTTTCCATATTATTTAAATGTTTAATTTTTAAAATTATTATTGAGTGATGGCGGTTCTTCTTTTCATTACATTAGTATTAGTCAATTCACAAGAGTGTACAGTGAAGCACTGTCGACAATGTGGAACAGATAATTGCGGATCGTGTATCAATGATTACATCCTCAAGGACAACACTTGTGTATTCAAAAGAGATCTCTTTTGTGAAGAAACTTTTGAAAATCAGTGTACTAAATGCACAGATGGGTACAAAATGCAATTATCCACAATGACGTGTGTAAAAGGTGACGAGCTTTGTTTGGATTATCAAGTCATTGGTTCTGATTTACAGTGCACTTCTTGCAAACCCCCAATGTCCCTTACAAATTCTGGTGAATGTATTGACTGTTCTTCTACTCACAAAGGGTGTTATTTGGTGACTGATGATTCGTGCAAATGCACTCGCTGTAAAGATGGTTATTACTTGAATGAACCACAATCTGCCTGTATTCGAGTACCAAACTGTCTTGAAATAGACACAGAAACACAAGGGAAATGCTCTATGTGCATTGATGGGTATTATGTTGATGAGAAGTCCAAGAATTGTGTTCAAGGAAATCTCGAAAAGTGTTTAATATACAGTAGTGCAAATGAATGTGAATTTTGTGAGGAAAATCATTTCTGGACAAATGGGAAATGCGTTGAACGTTCACATTGTCGTGTTGAAGATGGTATTCCCGATTGTGAATATTGTGCTGATGGTTATGGGATTAAAAACAATGATTGTGTCAAATGTCCAACAGGGTGCGATCGATGTGAAAATAATGCGACCAGTTGTGAATTCTGCCTTGAAGGGTATGGCATGGTCAATTCCGTTTGCAAAAAGTGTTCTGATGACAATTGTAACGAATGTGATGATGACACAAACACGTGTCAAAGATGTATGAATGGATATACCCTTACTGCAGATAATAAGTGCAAGGCGTGTACCAAAGAAAGTAAATGTAAAACATGTAGCGAAAGCACTCCAGATGTTTGTGAGAGTTGTGAAGAAGGTATGTATTTCTCAAGTGAACAAACGTGTGTAGATTGCACTATGGCCGTGTGTAGTGAATTAAATAATGAACAATGTTCGAGTTGCAACATAATGTATAAATGCAAAACTGTTTATGACGGAGATGTTTCAAGTTGTATTGATATCTCACATTGCTCAAATTATGATGAAAATAGAAAGCAATGTACTGAGTGCTTTTCAGAGTACTTTTTGGACGATAATTACAAATGTCAACAATGTGATGAAAAGTGTGTGAATGGCTGTGCAAAAAATAAAAGCACTTGCATTGAATTAAAGGACGTAAGAAGCGAAGATTATTGTTTGTTATTTGATGTCAATCACAATTGTAAAAAGTGTGATGATAGAGCTGTTTTAAAGGATGGTATTTGTAGTAACGAAGACAACTGTTGGGTCAAAAATGATGACGATTGTTGCGTTGAATATTTGGACAATAATCAAACTGGAAGAGATTTGAATAATAACCCGCATGTTCACATCTATCCAATGTCAAATTGTCAAGACCCAAAAGATGGTTCCTTCAGTATCTTTGTTTCAATCTTCGGTTTCATCATTTTGGCCATTTAATGATAAATTAATTTGAAGGTTTTTTATTTTAACTATTTTATAAAACAAAATATAATTTGTGTAATTGTGTTGTAATTCATTTTGATTTTATAATTAGTGTTAAAGGTCAACATACACACTATATTAATGTATTTTAAAATATGTTTGCTGTATGAAAATAGTTGTTATAGTTTGAAATAAATTTAATAATATTGTTATAAGCTATAAAGTATCATATTAATGTATATAATTAAGTTACTACACTTTAGGTTTATTTTTGAATTATTTAAAAGTGATTAGAATAACACAAAAATGAAAATGATTAAGAATAAGGTTTAAAATCAGACTGGTAGAATTGATAACGATTTGTTGTATTTCCAAAAATTGTGTACAATCTAAAAACGAAATGGTGGTCTTTGGGGAAGTAGGTTTTTGCAACATCAACTGATGAAGAATACGTGCCGGGTTTTAAAACTGTTTCGTGTTCTCGATGGAACGATTTGTAAAAATTGATTGTTCCAAAGCTATCATATTTAATAAAGCCTTCATCTTTGTATTGATCTCCTCCAAATTCAATTTTTGCAGTTGAAAATGAGTCATCAGAGATAACTGTTAAGAAAAAGCGAAAACTGTCTTCATCTTGGTCGTAAAGTAAACTGTCTATTCTAAATTCAAGAGGGCAGTCTTCCAGTTTTAAATCGTAGTATATTCTTGAGATAGTGATACTGTGAATAACAAAACAATTGAGAACATTTAAATGATTGTTTTTTTAAAAACAAGTTTAAGTAGAATAAACCAATTTGTTAAATATACTTATAATTTTTTATTTTTAAAGGTTATAAAAATAGTTAAGTGGTTTTTGAGTTTAAAAAAATAATGGTCATTTCATATTCATGTTTAATATTCAATAATTTTAACCGTTTATGCAAAATTTTATTAATGAAAACAAAACATGTCAAATAATTCATTTTTTAAATGTCATTTTTAAAAATACAGGTCAAAACATGATTGTCGTTGAAATTGATGTGAATTGATTAATTGCATCAAACATTTTATGATGCTAAATGTGACATTTAAATATTTTGTTGTTTAAAAATCATCATTTTAATAACATTGTTTAGTAAAAGAATAAAATACGATGAATTTTGAAAACAAATACAACAAAATTGTCTTTTGACAATTCAAGTTATTAAGTGATTTGTCAATTTATTTTATTTTATTTTTATATTAATAATGATATATAAAGACTCATAAACTTTTTAATTCTAATGTTCTTTGTTATTTTATTCTTTTCTCTTTCACAAGCAGAAAAAACTCCACTTGTTTTGAATATTATCCGTAAAGGAATTTATGTCGAAAAGGCTACGATCGATAAATGGGCATTAGGCTACAAATTTACAACTAACATGACTGTAATCGCAGCCAATTTATTATCAGCAACATTGAACGTTACAGCAGATTATTATGTTGGTGGAGAAAAAAAGAGTTCTCATAAATTGAATTATTCTAAACTGGATATTTCTCGCCAACCCATATTATATAAATTTGAAACGGACCCGTTTCCCCTTGGAAGAACGGGAACTTTTATTATCTTTTATGTCATCGACTTTTTGGCAGGAACCATAAAAGACAAAAGTTGCAAAATGGCGACATATACACCAATTTAATTGCAGATTATTTTTAACATTTTACTATATAAACATTTTCTTAATAAATATTAATAATTTATTGTTATTTCAATTGTTAAAAAACAATTTAAAATATGTAGTTTTTGAATTGTCCAATTACACTCATAACAAATTTTAATTTGGAAACTTATTTATATTTATATGTATTTTTAATTTAATTAACCAGATATAAAAACATTAAATTATATTAATATAACTCTGCAATGCGCTTTGTACGTTTTCGATACTCATTCTCTGAGTTGTTTCTTGTGTCCAACTTTTTGTGATAATTACAGATAATTTATATGGGATTACTTTTGATATTTCAAGTCTTTTACCTCCACTTGTAAAATCTGCAATATTCCACGCATATTTAAACCTCTCATCATCCTTCTTAAATGCCTCTTCCCATGAGAACACTTCAAACATAGTGATTGCAAACGAATAGACATCGGCCGCTTTCTTATACTTTTTTCTTTCCAATACTTCAGGCGCCATATACTTTGGTGTTCCAATTCCTTTTGTAAAAGTCATGTTGGTCATCAACATATTGACATTTCTAGCACTTCCAAAGTCAGTCAATTTTGCATTTACTTTTTCGTTTACATCAAGTGAGAATACAAGAATATTGTCTGGCTTGATATCTCTGTGTAATATCCCATTTTCATGTAAATATGATATTCCCTTTGCTGCATTCAACAGCATTTTAATTCGCATTTTGATGTCAACCTCATCAGATTTTTTGTGTTTTAATAAACCTTGTAAACTTCCAAATTGAGCAAATTCAGTGACGACACATTCTTTCTTTTCAATGAAAACAGCACCAAAGAAATGTACCAAGTAGTCACTACGAAATTTATCAAGCATTGCAATTTCTTTTTTAAACTCGTTAAGTTGATTCGCATCTTCTTGTAATTTCTGTTTCATCTTTTTAATTGCAACTTCGTACTTTCTGTAACTTCCTTTATAAACAACACCAAAAGACCCTTCACCAAGTACATTCTCTTCTATTAACTCGTCATAGTCAAGATGTGTTGAATTCTCCGTTTTCGCATTTATTGTAATTGATGTAGCTTCTTTCTTCCCATCTTTTATATTTAGTGAAATAATTACAATTTCATCAACTAAATTCATAGTGCAATATGGTGTTAAAAAGATTTCAAATTCGCAAGCAAATCCCCTCTTTTAAG